AAACATACTATAAACTACGTTTTCCAAAAATGAAAAGTTTAAAATATGCATCATATCACCGTTAAAGCGCTCAATCCGGCATTGTATAAGATTAATTTTACTGATATAATCACAAAATTTGTTCGTAAACATTGTTATAATCATTATACCTAAAAACCAGACTGATCAGAGTTGGCTTTCTAAAAATGTTAAGAGTCGTTTTTAAAATGTCAACTAAAAGTTATGAGTACTATAAGAGACTATTAAAATGACAAGCGTATTTATATGAAACTTTTGGAGCACTCATTTTACTCTGAATAGTGGTCACGATGTCACGTACATAAAAGAATACGCCATAATTGTAAGACTATCATTCCCTTAGTACATTCCTCTATTCACGCAGAATCTTAAAATTACTGACAAAATATATTACATAAGTTCACAAAAACAATTAATATTCTACTATATTTTACACGTGTGTCGAATAATGCACGTTAAAATATGAGAATGTATCGATTTAACTGATATTGGTTATTGTTGTCTCTTGAATCTCATGGACAACCTGCTATTTTATCATACATGAAAATAGTAACTACAAAAAACCAATATTATGTATACTGTAACAATACAGTGTGCCTATGTGTATTATACATATACTCCGCCATCGTTGTGTCAAGAATTACGTTAATTTTACATCAAATGTTGTACCTGTACTCTCAAACTTTGAGTTTTCATTTTATTTAAATTATTACCCTACAAAGTAAACAGAAATATTTTACATCCATCTTAATCAATGAATAATTTTATATACTTATTATAATAATTCAAACGAAAATTATTAATAAAAATATCTTAGAGAACTATAATTTTCTATACAATATTGAACAATTTTATTATTGATCCACATTATAAAAATATGTTCAAAATTCTATTTTATTGTTATGGTTTGAGTGAGGAATAGTTAATATTTAAGGTACCTATATCAGTATATCATCAATGTGAGTTAAACATACAAATATATTGTATTCAATTCCCAATTCGTCTTTACATTCTTGTTTTAATCCCCAGTTCGTATAAATAAGAATAATAATATTTAAAAATGTTCGGATACAAATGATTAATGTTATGAATTTCTATTAAACTGTTTAATAATATATTGTATTATTTTATTTTCATTCATACTAAAAAGTAGAAATACATTGTGTGTTTAGAGTAGACAATTTTCAGTATTACCTACGCTTAGGTATTTATATGCGTTTTATTTATATTGATGATGATTGAATGATTTTTAAATTGAATTATCAAAAGTTAATTCGTATTAATTTCAACGCTTTCTTATAATTATTTGAGAAGTGCCAGCAAAAAAAAATGACTAAGTACCAATTATTGTGGTTGGACCAATTCTTTCATGGGAATTATTGTTGTCAAATAATCATACTATTGATACCTAAACTTTACTAGATAGAAAATATAACTCCGAGTTCATAAAAACCTCTTTCCAAAAAACATATTTTATATGTTTTATTTAATTTTTTATGTTTTATGTTTTATTAAATATTTTATTTTCATTTCAATTCTCATCAGTTTTTAATTTTGAGTAACCACCAATAATAATATATTATAAATTATATTTAGGTAGTTATAACAACCAATATCGTAACTACAATTTATCTATTGGTATGCGGCGGATGATATTATATATCAATCCGCTTTGCTCGCAATATCCTTTACTACGTTCATAATATACATTTGCTCAATAATGAGAGAATGAAAGATGGGACGAAGGAATTAAAAATTTTAAAACGGACCAATATTCTAACAATAATATTTTGTATATAAGGAAATAGTATGATAATTCCATTAACATTTAAAATTAAAATCTAAACATGAGTAATTTTGGAATTAAAAGTTCAAATTGAGTGTATAGTTAAATTTATGAATTGACACCAAGTATTCTAATTTACCATTATCTTTGTTAGCGAAGACAAAGATATATTAAATCATACGTCGAGTGTAAATAATTAACTTTTGTGTTGTTATTTTATCTATGTTATGTTTTTATACAATCCCATAAATATTTTGCTTATTTTAGGTATTCAAGAACTTCTGAACGCAATAAAAACTTTCTACTCAATTTAATGTTTTTTTTCTTCCAGTAGGTACCTACTTAAAACTATTGCGTTTTTAAATGAAACTGAAAGGGCTACGCGGTTGATCTTTTTCACCACAATAATGGGGAAGAGCATTCGAAAAGCCGTAAAGTCGTTGGGGTTTTACAATAAATGTCCTCACCGACATGGACCGGCCACTTTATCGACTATATATAGTTCCGTGGTTACAATAGCAAGAAGATAGAAAGTTGAGTGCAGTAAACATATGAAAGAAAAAATAAGAAATATAGAAGAAAGATCAAAATAAAACGAATTCTTCCATACAAATATAGAATTTACACATTTGCACTATATTCACTTGAATACGTACTATAACTTCAATGTCATTATTCCACTCTAATAATATTTAAAATAATACAATATTAATATTAAGTACTAATACACCATGTTTTTAATAATATTATTATATATCAAAGCATCAAATTATAATTTATTAATATAACGTATTATTTTGAAAAATGTTAATAAAAAAGATTAAATAGGTACTCCATTAAAACGATTAAAATGTTAAAGTATATATTAATTTTTAAGTTTTACATACAACTAACATTCTGTTGTTACTAAAAATCCGGTAAACAGGATTTTAAAATTTTATCAGACAGGATATTTATACAAAATCTTCAGACAAGTGTTTCTCAAGAAAAACACTAATTTGAAGTAATTATAATATTCAAATAGAATAAAAATAAAAAAGTTTCATGACATTTTAAAAATCTATTCAATTTATATGCATATCAACCATTTTATACCAAGGAACCATAATATCATGAGCAATAAACTTAACTATAACTATATACAAAAATTCTAAGAAACAATATTGATTTTATAAAGGTGACTTCTTTTCTAGATAATTATCTTTTGGAACAGTAAAAGTACTCTTTATGCAACCCGGCATAAAAGTGACATATAATTTCCCAACTGTAATAGTGGACCCAGATGGTACCTCTTTTAACGGGGAATTTTTGTAAATTCTCAAAGTTTTACAAACAAAATTCAAACAAGCAAAATATAATACCTTTTTATTATGTTGTTTTTATGATTGAAATTTTTAAGTGAAAACAGCAATTTGAAGTTTAAAAATTTCTTTAACGTATAAAATTATTTTAGTAATTGCGGAATATTTCATCAATAAGTTAATTCATGACACACAATTTTCATTAATTTATATTGCCTTTTTTAAAATATAATATTTTGCTAAGAACAAGTAATTTTTCTGGTTTTGTGATTTTTTCCTTACACTTGTTGCTTTAAAAATTAAAACTACAGAAAATTATTAAGAACATTGAAAATTTCTCAATTTCACAATTTCCTATCTATGATAATACAATAAGTGATTTTTCTAAGGACTTTGATTAAGTGTTAACTGAAAGTAAAAGAAATATTAATAATAAATAAATTATAAAAGTAATAGTTGCTCACTTTCAAATCCAATATATTCTTAGCTTTAGTCTGAATCTAAAAGTTTCCTTTTACTAACGTATTACTTATAAATTTATAACTATATGAGAATACAGAAGTGTATATAATCCAAGACTTAAAAGTTAAAAGTCTTTGGCTTGTAATAACTAATGGGCATTTTTTATGGACGAGTGTTAGACGATTAATATGTAAATGAGATAATCGTATAACAAAAATTAATGGCCCGAGACCAAACATTGTGGTTTTATATTTTTAAAATAATGAACAATGTTGAGTATTTAATCACTTTAAATTAAATGAACGTACCTAACTAACAAATATATTTAACAATTTTATCTTCAGTTAAATCCATTATATCCTTGGATATATCATTAATATCATCCATTCCCAAATTCCAATATAACTTTGGTTAAGGTTGAAAATTGTTACTATTACTAGATTCACAAAATGTATATGAAAATACATTTTACTTAGTGTTATTTAGATTTTAATGTGAATGTAACTCCATTGTCAATTGAAAATTCAGTATTTGTTAATATATTTTAGAACTTAAATTGTGAGAAAATGTTTAAAATACATATATCCTAAATATTAAATACTATATTTTGTCATTTAATTTTTAGGTTTCGATAGAAAATTTATTTTATCTAAAGTTCAAATAACTTTGTTTCTTACAAATATATATATATATATTTTTATAAGTACTGTCATATCATTCATTACTTGTAAATCTAAGACAAAATCGTATTATACAATATTATACTATTTTGGTGTATTTCAGTCTTTCTACTTTATAGACCATAAAAACAATATATTTTGAATCAAACTTTAAATTTAACACTAATTTAGTTTGATATATTACCTATTAATTAACACAATATTTGTTGAATAAGACAAAAATTAAAGTTTTACACCTGTAGGTACATATACGTTTTTTTTTTTTTTTCAAGATTGGTGTTAAAATAGTGAAAATTACATAAACTTACGCCAACTAATAAGGTACTATACATAGGTAATAGGTACACCAATATGATTAAAAAAAAAAAATCGCACTGAACTGCGTTTTGGATGTCCATTCTGATCATGAAAATAATAGAACGTTGAGTGTTTTAAAAAAAATTGTTTCCGTCAATCGTATGAAAAATGTCAACAAAAAACAAACAATATTATTTCTTTCATAAAATGTTGTTTTGACTGCGACTAAAACTTGTGATAATCATATACGTAGTACTCTGTTACATAAATACCAGCTGACGTATATTTACGGCGTAACTTCATTACCCAATAATATTATAATAATTTCTACAATACGCGACACGAACTGTCGAATGAATTGAGCTTGTACAAAACGAAAATTACCTTTTACGCGGCTCATCATCGGAGGAGACGGTACGCTCTGGGGTCGCCACGCGTGTGACTACGGGGCGGTTTTCAACCGAACACTGCCGGCTCGGTCGGTGGTTGTATACGCAGCGGCGGCGCCTGTGCGTGTGTGTGTGGATTTTCGAGCAAAAACGCAACTCTATGGTTTAAACGCACGGACGGCGGCGGCGCAAACTCCACCACGGCGGCGCATTCTCGGAGGCTTTCGATGGTTTTTTTTTCCCGCCACACCATCCCTATCCCTACACCACGCACAATACCAGCCCCGCGGTCCATGATGGCTAGGTATACTGTGGTGGCTCCTCGTCGTCTACCATTATGGTTAGGACGCTGATAAATCCAACTGCACTCTCCCTCACACACGCTCGAGCACGCCGATACTTTCAAGCCCCCCGCAGAACGTGCGCCGTATTACACAGGGTGTATGTGAAACATGTGACACGATTGTAAAATGAAATGTTACATAATGCAAAGCTGTCATATCGTTCATGGACACACGTGCTGCAGTATAATATCATACGAGTATACGTACACACATCGCTGCTCAACAAAGACAAATATAATATATTATATATATATATATATATATATATATATATATGTTTTGGTACGTCCTCTTTACATCTATTATTCCACACATCAATTCCATGGCATAGAAAATAGATCACGCGTATAATAGGAACTGTTACTATACATTAGTGTTTAATGTGAAACACGTAGGTAAGTAAAATATAAAACTAAAATATACAGACAATAATGATAGTTTTTATACGTCAAACCTTACATAAATGTTGTGTTTCACTCTTAACGTTTCATATTATTACTATTGCAAAGTATCTCACAATTTCAATCCCTTCCGATGGGTCATAGGTATCAGTTGTTCGGAAACAAAAATCACACGTACTCTCGCACACATACGATTTTTGTGTTTTTCCAAACGATTCCCGTTCAGAGGCTACAAGCAGCGTCAACAGGTGGAACGAAATGGAAACAAACGATTTTGATTTACTGCCATACATACACACATACATTCGCCTGTCGTACACCACCACCATGGTGCTCATCCCACAGCGATTGATTCAGCGAAATCGGAAATATTGCAATACGTTAAAGATCTTTATTATATTATAATTTTTTTTTTTTCAATGCGATTTTTTTCCTCCTTATCCGCGGCCCGACTACAACATAACACGCACCTTCCCCACATGTATCGTTATTTACATTCATCGTGTTGCCTATGCCGATATTGTTTGTTTATGCATCGTGTTTGTATTTGCATTCACCTCTGCCCGCACGCGCCGAGGTTTGCACACGCTGTATGAGCTTCGGTCGTCGAACAACAGGTGTTGATCCGTTCCTTAAATCCTATCCACTGCAGCGAGTTCCATCCCCATGACGTAGTGTGTGTGTGTGTGTGTGTGTGTGTGTGTGTGTGTGTGTGTGTGTGTGTGTAATACCCACACGCCATTTATTATATATTATGTATAGGTAGAGGTACTTGTGCGTAGTCGCCTACGCGCAAAAGGCATCTAACAAATTCCAGGTGAAAAACGACAGAGATTGTCGATAGTATATTGTTTTTCAACGTAGAAGAGTAATATTTTTCACATGGGATTCATATGTTATTTTCTTACGTGTAAGCACGATATGTAAGTCTTATTATTAAAATAATAATAATAAATAATCAGCATTAATTATTCTACTAATTTTGTTATTCTTGATGAAAACTTTAACAACTTTCGTGTAAGCAGCAATTAAATAATGTAAACAATAAGCAATTTGATTATCACAATACATTTTAAATAAATACTTGGATAGTTGGATTAAATTAGTTGATTTGAAAATGATTATCACACGGCGTTATGGATAGGCTTTTTAAGCACAGCACTATTGTGTATTCAGTTTTTTGGTATGATATCGAAAGTGTGTTCAAACTTCAAATACAACGACCTACAGGGTGAGGCCCTAAAACGAACGATTTTCAGAATTTAATTAGAATATTTAAAAAATATTAATAGATTAGAAAGATATTATTACCTACATTACATTTATGCCAACTACATGCCATTTATTTTAAAAAATTATTTCAAAAGTACGTTGTTTACCGCAACGTCTTTGAACAAATAACATTTCGTGAACATTCATCGAAAAACCCAATAATTGGTCGTCCAAAATTGTTTTTATCATTGGCCGTTTCACTGCTTCAACCTGTATGGCAGAGGGGGGTGGTAAAGTTAACTTCAGCTATTGTTTGTCATATTATTGTTTTAAAAAAATATATATATTATAAAAATCATTTTGCATTTATTAGGTACTATTTTATTTTACCATTAAAACGATGTTATTCCTAATACATTTTGTATGATGATTGATGAATGAAATGTTTTGCCAACCGATAAAATGGCGTCCGTTCACATCTGAGCTTCACTTGTAACAATATAAATGATATAGGAGCTCCTTTTCTAGTATAGTATATAAGTCTGTGGTTTAATATTTAGTTACATCTGATATAGGTTTAACAAGGTATGCTTATTAAATTTCAGGAAAACGGACCTATGACAGTCTATCTGAGACGCAGTTTAATCGTTGTTATATTGTATCATATAAATATATATTTATTTTCTCGTAAGTTATGAGATACTGAAAAACTAAATGGATCACCGATTTTTCCTGAGCTTGAAAATTCTGTATAATATGATCTCTGTCACATACGTTAACACGATGAACCTAATTAAAACATAAAAATAGTGAGTACAAGTCTTTATAATTATTTAACAAAATGTATTATGCATAGTATCTGTGTATTGAATAGTGATATATTTTTTTTAGATTCTGAGCGGAGCGAGGAAGCTATAGTTTTTATAGTGGTTTTACAATGGTGTTTATTTTTTATATCCTGTAAACAAAATTTCTACCAGAAGGAGTGCTTCGATTGCAACATATAGTACCTTATATTTTAGCAAATTGGATCAAGATGGTACTTTAGAGATGTCATTTTTCTTAAAAGTTATTTAATGACAAGGGAAAAACTATAGTAAAATTACGAAAAACCGCTTAAAATATGATTTTAATTTCTAACGATTTAAACGAATAAAAATTATAACATTATAATAATATTAATTCAACTTAAAAATTATAATAAATAATAAAAATTTAAAAAATCCAGACTAATAAACCGTCTCCGCTCAGAATCGTTTTTCTTATACAATGATATTATTATATCATTGAATTCAAGTTTATGCAATCCATTATACATTTTCCTCACTTGTAATCTACTGTACAGCAGAGCGACATCAACTTATTTTAACTTGAACTTGAGCCCGGCAACTATGGCCATTAGCTATTGTAAAGATTATGGACTATGGTTGGTAGGGTTGGTAGGGTTGGTACGGTAAGGTTGTTACGGTAGGTAAGCAACACGTGTATGGGCGGCAGGGTTTTTACTACTACCAACCCGGGATGGTCACCCATCCGGGAACTAGTAGTAGTAGATGTACTTACTCTCAGCCACTTTGCGTGACTGATAGCAGCCAACGCTCCACGCCAATCCATAATAATTATATTATATTATAATATAATCATCAACAATTGTTCAATACTTATGTATATTCAGATAACCTGAGAACGATACTAAAAACTTTGATAAGAATCATAGTAACTTATTTGGTAACTCCTTATAATTTTATTTGTATACAACTAAATAAACACAATTCGTATTTTATTCATCAATATTCACTTTTCAGGTAACTGGCTGGAAGTTTCGTCGTCATTAAGGAGTTATGTGTAGGCAATTATTTCGTTGCATACAGGCATGGATTTTATTATGATAGTAAAATGATTATTTTTTTATAATAAAGTTTTATTTATTATATCACTATTTATGACAATAAAATGTTGGACTATGATTTAATTTTGAATATTTACTTAGGTAAATAAAAGTAAGTACAAAGTTAAGTAATATAATAAAATGATCAATGATAAATGTAAAATATTTAACTTTATAATCGTTTTCCAAAATGGTTATGGTTTTATGCGAAAATTGCATAGGAAGCTTAAAAATAAAATATAATAATTATTCACAAATGTAGACTTTTTTTTAATCATGCAGATTATTAAGTTATATTTTGATTCATAACAAATTGTTGCAATACAACTCATTATGTCCAATCTATTAATAAATAGTAAATAATAACTGGGATTGGGGTAGACTAACTTCTGAAATCTCCAAACAAAAAATAGATAGTAATTATATAATTTATTATTTCAATTCTAACACTTTACATATTATATGTATAATGTATATAAATATCTAAATTCAAAACCAAATCAGATTAAGGTAAATTTGGAACAATCTTTGTTTTTGAATTTGCATGATATTGCAGATACTATTATATGTATCCCACACGGTCTCACATTATGTTTATCACAAAGAAATGCTTTTAGTTCAATCGGATTCAGAAGAAAAATATTCGTATAAACGTTACATAATCCTTGTCAGCATAGCCGTTTTTTTATTTCGTGTTCACTCTCATTAACATCGACCAGCAGTTTCTTTTTATGTTATAAGTCATATATAATAGTATAAAACAATATCCAGATTCGATTGTAATAATTTGATATTCATTTTGAGATAAAAATCTGGTTTTATGCTCGGAGAAGTCAACGAACTACTAAATTCATTCATGTATTTAAACAATTTGAATAGACTTTAGCATACTGAGATGTTTAGGGAAGAAAAATTACTTTTCAGAGGCAGTAAATAAAGTACTATTATAGTATAATTATGTTATTATCAAGCAATATAAACTATAAAACACCGAAAGATATTCAAGTTCGATTTACTATATAGGTACGTGGTGAGTTTTCTTGGATAATGACGATGTAAGTAGATATATTAATAAGTAATAACTGATTAATTTCAAATATAAATTGACTGTTTCAGAACTTGAAATAATGAAACCTTTAAGCAGGTTTGTAGATTCCGAGTAGTTACTATGAATCGAAGCTAAGTAAATATCTATACTTACCAAACTGTCAAAAGGACGTACAAACTTGACGTCATGACGTATCGTGTACCTATATAATCCATAATTTCATAACCTTATAACATTATTAGTAGCATAGTTAATAATTAATATTTCATAAGTACACGCAAATAATCTCAACAAAATATAACAACTTCATAGAGATCCTTAAATGTCACACATTTTATTATTTTAATGATAGTATATTTCTGTTGTAAACATGTATTATAATGTTATAATAATATATTGAGG